GCAGAGATGCTATATTGCTCTCTTACCTTTTCATATCTGAGATGACATGACTTTTCACTAACACATAGGTCAACAAAAATATTAGATTTACAAGATCTATATGCTAGGTTTACTTTTTAATTTATTTTTTTCCTTTTCTTTAACTTTCAAGATACTTCTACCTGCTGAAGGAAATCTGGTCACTGAGGTAAGGAAAGGGCTACAGCGCTCTTCAGCTGGTCATCCAGTTTGAACGATGGGAAAACTAAGACTAGCACAAGAATATCAAACTTTAACTTTTTAAATCTGAAAATGAAATGCAAAGAATAACAGTATGTAGACTGCAGGCAACCGGTGCAACTTGAAAAAGTGCAAAGCTAGAGCTCAGCCAACCAACAGCCAATAGCCCTTAAAATGGTAGGGTAACACTAAACAGGAGTTTCCCTAAAATGATACGAGCAAAACTGGAAACTTTAAGTGGCAAGAAAACAGCTGAAGCTGCCTGGTGTAGCCTGTCTTTGGGTAAAACTCAACAGAAATTACCCCTTTTTAAATATAAGCATTACCAGACCCTTTCAACCTATTTTCTCCAGTGTAATATCAAACTCATTTACCTTGAACAACCTGCTGTTTAACATTTTTGTTGGCAACATGGGTGTTGGGATAGAATGCACCCTCAGCAAGTTTGCCGATGACACCAAGCTGTGTGGTGCAGTCGACACACTGGAGGGAAGGGATGCCATGCAGAGGGACCTGGGCAGGCTTGAGAGGTGGACCCATGTGAACCTCATGAAGTTCATCCAAGCCGAGTGCAAGATCCTGCACATGGGTCATGGCAATCCCAAGCACAAATACAGGTTGGGCAGAGAATGGATTGAGAACAGCCCTGAGGAGAAGGACATGGAAGTCTTGGTGGACGAGAAGCTCAACATGAGCCAGCAATGTGCACTGGCAGCCCAGAAAGCCAACTGCATCCACAGCTGCATCAAAAGAAGCGTGGCCAGCAGGTCCAAAGGGTGATTATGACCCTCTAATCCACTCTTGTGAGACCCCACCTGGAGTACTGTGTCCAGCTCTGGAGGCCCCAACATGAAGGACATGAACTTGTTGGAGTGAGTCCAGAGGAGGGCCACGAAGACAATCAGAGAACTGGAGCATCTCTCCTATGAAAACAGGCTGAGAGTTGGCGTTGTTCAGTCTGGAGAAGAGAAGGCTCCAGGGAGACCTTATAGCAGTCCATAAAAGGGGGAAAATACAGGAAAGATGGCAAGGAACTTTTTTATGCGGGAGTGGAGCGATAGAAAAAGGGGTAGTGTTTTTAAACTGAAAGAGGGGAGATTTAGATTAGATTTTTAGGAAAAAATTCTTTACTGTTAGAGATGTGAGACAGCGGAACAGGTTGCCCAGAGAAGCTGTGGATGCCCCATCCCTGGAAGTGTTCAAGGCCAGGCTGGATGGGGCTTTGAGCAACCTGCTCTAGTGGGAGGTGCCCCTGCCCATGGCAGGGGGATTGGAATTAGATAATCCTCAAGGTCCCCTGCAGCTCTAACCATTATGTGATTTTTTGACCTTGTCACACATACTGAAGTAATTCGAGTATTTTCAGCACTAGTTGTAAGCAGCATAGTTAAACTGTTCATCCTCAGAAATCTCTCTACCGATGAGAACCTATTTGCAATGGTTCACCCTCTGCAGTGGTTCATGCTTTTGAATTATTCTTGTCTGACTAGAGAGCACTCTATAGTCTTTCAGCAACACAAATCAAGAGAACAAAAATGTATTTGTGCTGAGCTTCAAGAAAGAGGTCCTCCACTTCTCATGTATCTTTACTGGTTTCCAGAGACTTGCTTCAGACATTCAAATCAGAAACATGATTGTAGTAAGCTTTTAAATGTTCAGTTTGCTTGTGGTACTTTATGTCTTCACACCTGGTTTATGTTAAATTTCACTGAAGTCCTTTAAGTTAAGTCAGTCTTTGGAGAGAAGAGGAAGAAGAAATATGAATTTTCATGCTAAGAAACAGCACATATTCCAAGTAATCCACCTCTACAAAAAAAAAGCTCCCAGGTGATGGTGTAGAACCAACACAGATCCTCTATTGTGATCTTCAGGATTTCAGTGAAATTGACCTCTGAAAGTCATGGATCCTTTCCTGCATAAATTTAATCCCTGTGGAACAGCTGAGCGCTGGTATCCTGCCAAGATCTGTGCTGTCCTACGTGCACTAAAAAGCCTCCATCTGAATTACTGTTATCTTTGCAACAGGATCCCTCCGCCTCTGACCTCAGGAGTTGCTCACAACCACAGGAAATTGCCCCTGCTTCTGTAACTAAGAGGGTGAACATTGAACTACACTATTTTTTCCAGTGCTCAAGGGTCAGTTGAAGATTGTCTCATAGAAATACCTCTTCCAGCAGAGTTCTCTGGCATGCTATAGACCAGCACTGCAGAGCCCAAAGGAAAGCTGATAAACATGATAGAAGGATAAAGTAGTGATGCAGCTTTCTAGGAGAGGCTGCAGACTGGACACATCATCTTAAGCATCAATTATCATGTGGGAAAGAGCAGACATCTGGTAAATGGTTACCTGGTGGTTTTTTCCCCTTTCACAGGCAGACACTATCACCAGTCCAAATTCTGCCCCAGAACTTTTGATATAGAGTTACATTTTTCTGAACTGCTTTTCTACTATTGTCTTATTTTTAGCTTCTCCACTTTCTTTTACTGTGTAAAAAAAACAGCTGCTGCCTTTTCATCTGTTTAGCAAATAAGGATACTGATTTTGTATCAAATTAATTTGATATCAAATTACAGAATCACAGAATCACCATGGTTGGAAGGGACCTCTGAGATCATCGAGTCCAACCTTAAAAAAAAACCCAAAAAACAAAACCAACCAACCAACCAATCAAACAAACCCCCAAACAACAAAAAAAACCACAAAACACAACACCCCACCACATCACACCCACCCATAAACCAACAATCCCAGGCACTAGAGCATGCCTTGAAGAGCCACGTCTACACGTCTCTTAAATACCTCCAGGGATGGTGACTCCACCACCTCCCTGGGCAGGCTGTTCCGGTGCTCGACCACCCTCTCAGTAAAGTAATTCTTCCTGATATCTAATCTAAACCTCCCCTGCCACAACTTTAGACCATAGAATTCAGGAAGCAGGGAAAGTTCTAAGATGGACTGTGTGTTCGAAAATGGGCCACAGAGTTTAAACAGTTAATGTGACCTTAACTTTTAAGCAAGTCACATTTCAGGTGACCGGACATGTATAAGAGCTGAATCTAGTAAGGTGGGGTTTGTCTTAGTAAAACAGTGTAGTAACCTGAAGATTATCCACGTGGACTAAGAACTTAACTAAAGACAGGTCAAGAAATGCTCCAATTGAATTTCTACAAAGCAGCGATTAAGCACCAGATTTTAGATGAAGCAGACAGAAAATTTACTGGTGTATCTTGAAAAAGCTTCAAATAAATCAGGACAATTTCTATCCCCTACTAGCACAGCACTTTTAACTGTAACATAGCTGATTTTCAATGAAAAGGCACACATGGAATTCAGCCAGAAGTACACAAGACAGAATACAATTCAATGTGCAGTTTTTTCTTATTTTTACAAACCTGAATGCAGCTGTCCTTGGAAAGAGTCTTCAATTTATCAACAGCTTGCAGTGGCATACACATTGTAGAAAAGTAAGGGGAGTAACTAGGTTTGATTACTAGTAACATACTGTATCATCTTACTCCAGCTGTAATTCCTTCTAGCTACAGGACTTTTGCTCTGCTGTTCTTGTTTTTTAAATAAAAACTTAACTGCTAGAGTTAGGCAAAAAGTAATTTATTGCCTGAAAGTTTTCACAGTGATTCACAAGATGAGTAGACAGTTGCATAAGGAGAAACAAAGTTGTGGGGAAAAAAAAAAAAAAAAAGCAGTAATTTTGGTCCTAGAAACAAATTACAGCATTAGTTAGCTGCCTTGAGTTGTAAATGTGCCTCCTTCGGGACACTCCAGTAAGGACTTCACAAGCAATCTCTGGACCCAGCTTGGGCTTCTGTCATGATTCTTCCCTTGCAGCACTTAGATCTGTCTGCAGAGGAACACGGGGTCTTCCGGCAGCAGCTAATTCCACAGATGTGAGAACAACATTAAATTTTTAAATCAAATGCTGCAATTAACTTCTAGGATGCTGAATGCATGGCAGCAGAAGATATCGCATCAAGAGTTACTTGTGAATGCAAATTCTGCCTCCAAAGCTTGATAGAGAAAATGATGACTTGGAAGAGCCATTCTCTCCACATCCTGTGACACTGAGGAATTTTAACTTTGTGGGCTTTGTTTATGCAGGAATGAGATTCATGCAGCAGATACATGAACATTCTTGCTTCTCTAGACTCTTACTACAGGTCCTTTTTTTGCTTGCACTGTGAAATTGCATCATGTTAGTCAACAGCATGCATGCGGCTTTACTGTGATAAAAGTCTGAGCTTGTAAAAATAGCTGGCTGATAAAATGAGAAGCAGGACAGTTTCTGCCTATTGTTAAGTCCCGTTCAACAATTGTTCTAAGGAAAACTAGAGAGAAAAACTCAGTGGCTTTGGTTTTAATTTCTTCCCCTCTAGGATCTTCACGTTCACACAAAATAAAACATCACTGTTCAGTCGACCACAGTATTTCAAAGGTCTAAAACATTTGTTTTATGGTTTTAACACTTAAACAGTTTAGAATTATATCTGCAAATGATTATTTGTGTAATGCCTCCATCTTACACAGTTCTGGTCAATCAAGTGCTGCCTTCTTTGGTAAGTGCTCATTTAACAAGCTTTACCTGTATCTAGTTCTTTCCAGATAATAAATATACTAAAAATCTGGTTCAATATAATTTTAAAAGTGGGATGTAAAAGTGCTCTAGACTTCTTTTGATCTCTAAAACACTTAGTGTGATTTTTATTTATCCCCAGTCTTTCAGAAGAGCTTTTCATTTATCCCCAATATTTCACAAGAGCTTTTCATTTATCCCCAATCTTTCACAAGAGCTTTTTTTTTCTTTTTTTTTTCGTTTGCTTTTTTTTTTTTTTCTTTTAAGTATCACAGGCTGCTGTGTTGTACTGCATCTGCCAAAGTTGCCAATAGGGAAGTTAGCAACAAAAATTGAAAAAGAGATTGTACATCAAATACTTTTGTTACCATCACAGTAAGGAAGTATCCCTCAGTAGGGTAAAATATTTGTCTGCAGCTATTTGAGCAATCCGAAGTAAGTTTTTTTAACTCTGCAGGGAAGCTTGAAAGTGGCTCAATTTATTTTTCAGTTCTCTTTAATTCACAGGAAGAAGTAATACATTTTTAAAATGTTTATTCAGCTTCAGATATCTCTTCTAAAGATAACTCTGGTATATTCAATATATATCTTCCCTCATTCCGTTAAATGCACTTAAGCTTTGAGGTAATTTAGGATAAAATATAAGAACATTTTTAAAAAATAAAAGCAAGAGATCAATAAAAAAAAATAGGCAGGATAAATAGAAAAATATTCTGTCTTCCTTTCACTACAAATAGTTTCAGCATAATGCACTTCAAAAAGCAAAATCAAGTCACTAAGTCCAGAAGGAAGTATATTTCTCAAGCAAAAATGACTTAAGCAAGCATTTCACCTGAGTTTACATTTCAGGGATTGGGCCCACAGCAACACAGAAGACAAAGCATCCAGGGCAGAACATCCCATGTCATTCTACCCCTTATTTAGAGGGGTACAGGAAGGAATGGGGGGAAAAAAATGCCAAAAATAATATTAAAAAATAAAATCAAACTTTGTCTTGCTGGCTCCATGTGGGCAAAAGACGGTCATGCTTTCTAGCAGCATCTCCATTCATGCCTGTCAACCGGTACTGACTCTGCCAGCATTATCTTATCTGCACAAAGGAACCTATATTCAGGGAGATTTTGGAAAATGTTAGCAATAGTATCCTGCTGTCCCAGAGGGACATTTCAGTTTGAGGAGTGCATTCCAGAGACAAAAGGCACTTGCTGGGAAGGCCTGAGATGAAACCTGTGAGTTTAGAAGATGGTCCTCTGCCCATTCAATGATAAAGGTATGCCACACTTCCTCTCTGAGATAATGCCAAAGGAACTCAGATTTAAAATGTGGCATCTTCAGGCATACGTGAAGATTAATCCTTTGGAACCTGTCATTTATATGCTATACTGGAAGACTGCAATATTCTAAATAAGATATTTTTACAGTTGTAAAGATACATTTTGGGAATGACATAGGCAATGCAAGTTAAAGTTCTTTAGGCTGAATGAAAAAAGCTAATCAGAGTCTTCATCATCGAGGTATTCTTCCGCATTACTTAATGTTCGGACTGTACCTAGAAAGAAACAAAGATCACTCTTAATCCAGAATAAAATCAGAAAAAGCCTCACATTTGCAATGCTTGCAAATCAGCATTCAAGAAACCTGATTCCTCTATCACTAAGAGATGTTAGGGCTACACAGATGGGGCTGCAGATCTAGATCTCAAAGGTAGGGCTAAGCCAGTAATCACATCTCCTACATATGAGATTTAGTCTGTTCATGACCTTCAAGAGCCATCTTCTGGCTCCTTGGAACCTGTACAGCAGAGCTGAAACTCTTTAATTCTACTTTCTGTATATATTACCTTTAAATTGCAAAGGAAAGGATGGGTGAGCTGGAGGAAGAACCCCTATGGCTTTATTCTGAGTGCTGATTAAAATCCATCTATTATCTCCCCCCGCTCTTTTCTCACCTAGGTTTTTTCCTGAATAAATATTTCTTAGGTCTACTTAAAAGCTTTTGCTTTTGAAGGATACTAAACAGAAAAAAGGAGTATTAAAGTATATTCACCAGGCGTGCAGTAATACCTAGAGAATTATGTCTACCTTTGGGACATACAAGGACCTGTACAAGGATAAAGAGCATGGATTTTTTGTGATGGATGATTATTTGCCTACAGATTTTCAAATATATGGGAATAGGAATATGGATTACACATAATGTAATTATATTGTACTTCTGAAAGCCACGAGTCACAAGATCCTATTCAGTCCTATCTTTGCAATAACATATTAAAACAAGGTACTGAAAATATCAGGTGCAAACATAACAAGACTGACATAATTCACAAAAGTGATAAACATGTTATCCTAGACTTCTGGAATATGAAAAAATGAGTAAATTCAAAACTATTTTGATAAAAGAATCTAAGATATTTTTTTCCTTTTGAGTAGGAGAAGCAGCAGAGGAAGAAAGGAAAGAAAAGAAAGAAATTGTAGAGCTTTGTGCTCAAGAGGCCATACTTCAAGAAATCAAAAATCCCATTTTTCTGTATAACAATTGTTCCCTTGTTCAGTAGCACAAATGACACAATCCTTTAATAACTTTAATAACTTTCACTTCTTAGAATATACTTCAGCAATCATGACATCTGAATGTGTGTGTACACACAAAAAAACAAAACTCCAAACATTTTAGTGGAGGCAAAGTAAGCTTTCTTGGATAAACAAAAAAAATGTTTTATAGACAGACTATGACAGAATCCACATCTAAATAGGAACTGATTTGAAACTGGGGGCAGGATGACTACTGATACAGGACTGAATCTCTGAAAAAGAGCAATTGTTTCTTTCAGTCACATTGGAATTATTGAAATGTGGCACCAATAGACACAGAAGAGTGAAATGAATAAAAATAACCAAGTAAATACAAAATATAAAGGAAATACACAGATCAGTGGTATCAAGAGAAATTATAAAAGGCCAAATTAAGACAGAAAACAAAACAAGGAAGTCAATATTGAAATTGCAGTTAGACTGAGAATATCAGCTCTTATATCAAGGCAAAAAAGAAAAGGTAGTGTGAGAGAGTACCAGAGACTGGTGAGAGATGAATTGACTAAGGATGAAAAAAATCAATCAGCCATGAAACAAAATTCATTTAGAGGGAGCGAGGCAAATGCACCAGAAGATAAGTTACCTAGTTTCAGAAAAATGAAACATTAATACATTTATTAGGGATATTAGAATTGAGAATACTCCTGTACCAGAAGTATTTAATCTTTGACAGGCAAAAACTAAATAAGTGCTCCTAACAGGTTTTAAGTAACATTAGAAAAAAATATGGTAACAGAAAAAATTCTGCCCTTTGTTACAACCACTTTCTTCAGAGTCAAAAGTGACAAAAATAATTTGTCAAGGTTTTCTGGAAAATCGTGATATTACCTCTGTCAAAAAGCTCGACAGCATTTTTGCTGCAACTGCTCTTCTTGGCCCTCTAAAGCTGCAGTCAGCTATTCCATTATTTAATTCCCATAGCCAACCACAGGTTAGCATTTCTTCTGTGCTCACTAGCCCTGTGACAATACAGTTGCTAGACTGCATATCCCACGGATACAAGCTGTAACTCTGCCTGTGTTTTTAAGTAATTTCTCTTTTTGTGTGTAATTCACCTAGAGCTTCCACTCTAACTTCAGCCTCCTGAAAGCTACTTTAATTATGCAATACTGAACATTTGTTTTACTGAACGACAGTCTTTGTTCAGGCTTTTAAAACAGCCTTTTATCTCTTTTTTTGTACACGGACACTGAGCTATTGGGAGAGATGAACACAAGTGGGAGCCAGTGAGACTATTTTGATAAACACCTGAAAGTATTCTTTATTTCCCTATTAGAGAATCACTAAAAGAGACGTGGGAGCAAGAAATTTTAAAAAATTAGCAATAAGAAAATAAAAGAGGAGCATTGGTTGGTGTTTATTTGGCTTAGTTTGGAGTAATAGACAGGCATAGTAATAGACAGCAGAAGTAGGGAGGTGATTGTGCCCCTGTACTCAGCACTGGTGAGGCCACACCTCGAGTATTGTGTCCAGTTCTGGGCACCTCAATACAAGAGAGATATCGAGGTGCTGGAGCGAGTGCAGAGGAGGGCAATGAAACTAGTGAAGGGCCTGGAAAACAAATCGTATGAGGAGCGGCTGAGGGAGCTGGGGCTGTTTAGTATGAGGAAGAGGAGGCTGAGGGGAGACCTCATCCCTCTCTACAACTTCGTGAAAGGACACTGTAGAGAGGTTGGTGCTGGTCTCTTCTCACAGGTAATTAGTGACAGAACGAGAGGGAACGGCTTCAAGCTCCAACAGGGGAGGTTTAGATTGAACATTAGGAAAGAATTTTTCACTGAAAGAGTGATAGGGCATTGGAAAAGGCTGCCCAGGGAGGTGGTGGAGTCACCATCCCTGGCTGTGTGTAAGGGCCGTTTAGATACAGTGCTAAGGGACATGGTGTAGGGGAGGACTTTGTAGAGTAGGGTAGAGGGTTGGACTCGATGATCCCAAGGGTCTCTTCCAACCTAGACGATTCTATGATTCTATAAGGGGGAACATACCACATGTTATACCCTCATACCCTGTTGCTTGTGGTATACTGCTTTTAAAGTAGTTTCCATCCTTGCTTTCTCTCACTCTCCATTCTGGAGGGCCTGTCTTCCATTTCCTTCCCTTTCCATATCTTCTGAACTCTTTTGCCTCTTACTGACACAGGTTGGCATTTTGTGTGGAGTTAACAACACTGAATGTGACAAACCACAGGTCCCTGTCATAGCTCTGCTGAACTAACCCTCTCAAGCAAACCCTTCCAAACACAACATTCAGCCCACATAACTCCCAAGTGGGTTTTGTGGCTATCAACATATTAATATTTGGTCAGAATATTAAGGGTCCCCTAAAAAGGGAAAATGTATCAGAAATACAGTATCAGAAATACCTGCACTTTGTTTCTTCTTAAGCAGGGAAGCACAAGCTGCATTGGTTGCCATATCTAAAGCCAGTTTCTTCTCATTGTTCTTCAGATCTGTTCTTGCCCCTTTATAATAGAAAATTTTCATCATGAACCACTGTCCCAGCTATTTCTTCAGCAATGGTATTATGATACAAGTTTCAGTAGCATGAGTTTCAGAACAGTAACGGTCAAGGGAATCTCATCTGTGGACTGCTCTGAAGCAGACTAGAAGCTATGGATGCTGTTCCATAAGCTACAGTTGGCTAGGGAACTCGATGGCTGCTCTCCCTTTCCGGGAAGCAGATGTCATTGCTGTTCTGGGGTTAAGTGCCTAATTTTGTCTGCAAAGCAGGATGAAATTTATCTTGAGCAGGTGAGATGTCTACTTTCCAAACAGCTGCCAGAATTTTCTGCAAGGCTTATAAAGTCAGGCAGGTATGCTGGCTAAGGACTGTACCTGGGTTATAGGAAAACAGTTAAAAAAATACAGATTAATAAACATTCAGGAATCTAGTCTGCCACACAGATTGTTGAAACCTTGGTAAAGATCTTTACCCTTTGCCAGCAGAATCTCTACAATATCTGCATAACCTTTCCATGCAGCAGCATGCAAAGCTGTGTCTCCCAATTTGTTCTGTGGAGTTAGAGGGAAAAGCAACAGGATTAAAATACAGCAAAAAAATCTTTCAGCTTCTACCAAGGATGAATAACATCACACCCCTACTGTAAGGGTCTGTTGGTTTAACTTACCTGTTGGTTTAACTCTAGGTTTGCTTGGGTAAACAGAACATCCACTATATCTGCAGAAAATAGTGGGCAGAAATAAAGAGGAAAAAATTAGTGGAAGCAAAAAAAGGTTTTGTTGTATTCGTAGCATAAATTTTGGTTAAGACTCAATCAAAGAGCAATCCAATCAGCTAGTGAAAATCTGTAACAGCCAGACTGCATTGAGCAAACAACCATTAGTCACAAAGAAATGCTTCTGCATAAAATATCCAAAACAATACAACACTTCTTTTTGGTCTGTCCTTCTTCCCACTCTGCTTCTAACAGTTACGCTGATTGGAATGCCTGCTTCAACAGCAACAACAAAACACACAGTATTTGATGGAGCTGAACCTCCCTTATAGATTTGTCCTTTCTTTTAAAAAAACTAAAATGGCATTAAAAAACTCCTGGCTTTATTATTTAATACTGCAATACAATCAGTGTAACAGACAAATCAAGAAAATCACAGAACAGTCATTTCAAATTAATTCTCTGATACCTTTGTGGCCTCCATGGCATGCCCAGTACAGAGCTGTGTTTCCAGCTTTGTCTAAGCCATTGACCCCAACCCGATTATCCAAACACTCTCTCAACCAGCTCAGGTTGCCTGAAAGACAAATTCAGTTCTGATGATTTCTTTTTTTCAATTGAAAAGTTAACAGAAGTATTAAAGGCATTCCGTTCTTTCTGAAGGGTGTCAGTCCTCCTATGAACTTATTAGAAGGAAAAGTGATTAGTACTTATAACACGTTAAACAACCAGTCCAAGTCATACCAAACATCTTTTCTTTCACTTCCAGAACACCTTTAGATCCCTATATTGTCAAATGGATGGTACCAAACAGTTTTTCTGTGTATACAATCACAGAGTGGTTGTATACACAGAATCATATCACCAGTTTTTCTGTGTATACAATCACAGAGTGGCGATTCTACCAGGCTGTAAACTAGCTCAGCTTCTGAAAGCTGCAAAGCTTACCAGAAAACTTGTTCAAGATACCAGACAACCAAAACAGACAGGATATCTTAATTCTAAATATATTATTATTTTGGCAGAAAACAAAAAAATCATCCTTTAGCATTACAGAACTAAAACCCAAATCACACTTACCACGTTTGGCAGCTTCATGCAGTGGGTTATCAATGGACTCAGCTTGCTCTGCCACTGAAATGAAACAGAGAGTAAATTCTAACTACTTCTGAAAGATATTTGACGCCTGTGTGGAAACAAACTTTGATTTATTCCAGAAAAAACAGTAATACATATTTGATTCTAATGTGAAAGGGGATTTGTGAGTGATGGACTAGTCAGATACACTTCAATTTCCTGTGTATGGGAAAGTAATTCAGAGAAGGGCTTGTAAAAACCTTGAACAACAGCATAAAGTTGATCAGTGGCTGCAAGACATAAGGAATCTGACAATATTTCATCTCTGTTGTTTCTTCCTTTTCTACACTTGTAAGATGGTTTTGAACAGCTGCACGTGGCCAGGCTTTCAACCTACAACTTGCCATCTGTAGTTATGATTTAATTATTTCTGAGAGGTCTGGGAAGGGTAACTAAAAACAATTTGCCAATAGGATTCCTATTTGTTTTACAGACATTTTTTATTTTCCCTGGAAAACTTGCAGGAGATCTGCAAATCCAAACTGCTTAAACAATGTACATAGTGATGGGCAGATTGAAGTTCAGGCTTCTGTAGACTTTTTCTTCATCTCACAAGCTTTAGGTTTTATTACAGAGAGGCAGCAAACAGCTCCTGGTCACTGTGCAACAGCAAAAAGAAACTTAACAACACTGCAAAACAGTTGGATGTCAGACCATAATCTGGAAACCTTTTTGTAAAAACTTCTTTTTTAGGTGGAAAACCCTGTGACTACTATTGGTACAAGCAAGCAAGACAGCGTACAATCTGAGAAAAGTAGGCTCTCTAAGCTCTGCACTATGGCTTGTTACAGGAGGCAGGGAGAATGTGAAAGGGTGTTCCTCAGATCTAACTGTTACTGTAATCAGATGCAATGTAGGCAAATACAATGTATGTCAGTTACCAGAAAAAAATGTCTCAAGACCACTGGAGCCTATTCAGATCTTTTCTTACTTTGGTCTGTATTTCTCCTGCAATGCTTCTAATCGCAAGCTTTCAGATGCTTATTTCTCTAGCTGTGAGTAAAATAAAACACAAATGCTACATTCTGATATTTCTGTTTAAAAAAATTTGTGCAAGCAGTAAACAGAACCCTAAAGAAGACCGAGGGAAGCCAGTCCCAGAGCAGACAGCCATTACACAAGCCGAACATGCTAGCTCATTGAGCAGTGTTTGTTGCCCACAGCACAAAGCATTAACATTAGTAACCTCAAAAGCCTAAAAGTAACTTTGTCTTCAGAATTTTTTTGTCAGATGTTCAGTAATAAGCATTTTTTAATGCAGCTAACACTGATTCTATCTTCATCAGCTTTTCCGTTCAGTCTTTTCAAACGTGTTCCTTCAAGCCCAGCAGATGGAGCACAAGACCCCACCAGAGGCCCAGCAGCTTCAGGTCTGTCTCCAGCTTCTGCAAAAAGGTTATAGAAAAGCAGAGCAGGTAACAGTGTTTCAGTGGTTCAGATTGAACCTAGGAAGTCCCAATGGCAGCAACTAGCCCTTACAGGATTTTGGCTGAAGTTTCTCTAAATCAGAAGATGTGTTCCTGGCACTCTTCATTCTTAGGGTCTGCAGAAGCTTCTGTTCTGCTTACACACAAAATTTTTGGAAATGTGCAGACCCCACCCTCCCCCACCCAGCCTAAAATGGAAGTTAAACTCTTGTTCAGGTAACTTTTCCAAATGGGAACACAAACTGAATGAGTAAATTATTGGTTTTATTTTAAATACAACACACTTCAATGTTCAAAACAAATCTGAGTGTAGGTAAGCACGTGTAATCTATTCTTGTCTATTAACAGGGACCACCTGTGGCAGATGGCAAGAGTAGAATCAGTCTGAAAGTCACAAACTAAAGTGAAATTTGATGCCATGGTCTCAATAACTGCACTGCAGGCTTCTATTCATGTATTTCCACTAACTACAAGTCAGGACAGGGAACCATAGCATTGCTACCAGAATGTCTGCCAGTGAAAGAGGGACAACATGAATCTAACACAGTTACTAATGTATTAGTAGTTTTGATGTAATATGCTATGTTACACTGCTACTCTGCCTACATTTCCTGAGAGGACTTGGAAGAATTGTGCTGTGCTGTCTGTACTCATGGCTTGTCAAAGTGACTTTAGTTCAATCTGAAAAAGCAATTTCGATTCAGTCCAAACCGGTATGGGATATCTAATGTGGTGCAATCCCCAAGAAAATAATGCTTTCTGTGCCTGCAAACAAATTGCAAACAAAACAGCCCTATTTCTTAAGTGGAACAAAGGAGGTCTGCAGAATTGCTCACAATCTGTGTTAGCTTCCTAGCCATATGCAGGTTTACTTAACCATTCCCATACTGATTAACTGTAAGAAACCACTCCACACTGTGTCAGGCTTCTTGATCTCAAAGCTACTACAGGCTGCGCCAGTCCATCCTTACGTCGACTTAAGAAAAAGACAATGTACAGACTGAAGGAATATAGCCAAGAGACTGCTAATGAGAAGATCTTAAAAGCTGCAATACATTCATTGAGGGTATCAAGAATACGACCCTATCAGTTTCATGTGCCATCTGCAAAACCAGCCTTTAGATCCATGTATTCTTCCCCTCAAAACTGAGAAGACCTATTGCTGTTACCTGCACAACCAGAAACATGAACACTTGGCAAACTCAAGCTGCCTTTAGGTTATAAAAGCATAAGATAGCCTGTCCACTGCTGATATACAGTGGTGACTGATATTGCTGATGTATTCTCAAATACTCTGCTAGAGGACTGTTAAATGCCAATACTGTGATCAGTTTTTGAAAATTAGTGTATCACTTATTTTTATTTAGTGATTTCCTTTGACTGTGAATGATCTTACCAAATTAAAATATTCTAGACATTACCATAATTGCTTGGAATTAGTCCAGTTCTTCCTTTGCAAGTTCCTTTCCACCAATTGGTATCACTCTGCAGAGAAAAGTGAAAATATTTTAAAAGGGATATGCTGCATCTCAGAAGCATGTACGGGATGTCTTAGACTTACCATGTCTGAAATGTAAATGATATCTCCTTCTTCAAAGTACAGTTCATCTGGCTGTAAAAAAATAAAATAAAGAAGGAAGAGTAAATAAAATTCAGAACGTGTACACTTAATGTAAAACAAACACCTGGATAAAACAGAGTACATTCAGCTCTTATTCCAAAAGAACAGTCACTGAAATTCTCTAGCAAGTAGGCAACAGTCTGACCGTCTTTCACACCATAGTTTGACTTGCCTATAGCTAACTTTTTGGATCTGTGACCACCCTGATAACTGAAAAAAAATCCTGTGACCTTTCTGATAGACCACTATGCAACAGAAGCAGTGAAATATATCTTGTGTTTGCTAACTTCATCCCCATTTTGGTTGGTCCCAGTTCATCAATTCCCTTAGTTCTCCATTATCTTTATTGCCTTTGGAAGAAAAGAAAAATTCACTTTGATTGCTGATCTTAGATTACAGGGAACTGATAGGAGAGAAGAAAGCATGCTGCTTTTAAAAAGAGCTGGACTTAAAAAGGAGAGTGATGATTAATCAGGCAGTTTTAGTCACACTAAAAACCAATATCCATCAATAGGCTTTTTCATTGAAAACACTGTACATTAAGTCTAATAGGCTAACCCTAGCAGAACTGAAGAAACGTTATTATAGACAAGATTAAAATTAAGCTTCTCAAAATCCTAAAATCTAGTTGTACTTACCGTTCTGGGCTCAAATGTGTACAGGGCCCTGAACACTTTAACCTGCCCTAAAAAAGAAAAAATAAACAGTATTAGTATTGTGCCTTCTAAACACAGCATATACACATACAGCCCTCAAATCCTTAACCCTTAAGGGTTCACTTGCTGAACGAATTCGTGTTCTGCCTCTAGCAATGAAAATAATAATGAGAAGACTCAACCCAGCAGCAAGGGTTTTGAAGGAAACAGCTAAAAGTAAGCTGTCTCTTGCGCACTCCTAATACAGTCCTCATAGGTTACTATTCGAGTCAACTAAAGTGTTGCCATCAATTTCTAAGGCAAAGTGTAGTTTCAGTCATAGGCACCCACACACACTCATACGTGTTGTATATATTTTTATTAATAATACCAGATTTGTCAAAGGATACAGAATTAAGGAAAGAATAAAGAAACAGATCAATGAACAATGACTGCAACATGTTCTCATACTTGTAATCTTTACTAATTAGGAAAATAATGCAGTAGCACAGAAATTTAATAATGCAGTAGCACATTGCATTTAAGAAAAACAACAAATGTTCACCAAGACTTATTTATGGAATGTTCAACAGACATGGTGTTCTGTTCAGATGCTTAAAATAAGCTATAGTGTTTACAATTCCACTAAGTGGGCAATGTTTAGTTTATCAGGGCAGCTTTGAAAAGACTGTCAGCAGCATCCAAGCCAAGAAAAGATAACCCTAATGCAGAGAGGTACAGATTTAATTGTATAAACTGCAAAAGAAGCAGTTTTCAAGAGCACCAAGCATAAAGTATAAAATGAGTACAGGAAAAGAAACATTTATCTTACTTAATTTTCTTAGCTGAACTGCTGAAGTCCACTGAACTCAATGGAGAAATACATTATGCAGACAGTTCTGTATTGTTTACTTTTAAATATCTGAATTCTTAAGTATGTAGGTTTGTCTGCTTTTAAAATAAAGAGTATAGGGATGCAGGAAGAGTACAGGGATGCTGTGCAGTTACGCAGGGACAAGATCAGGAAGGCCAAGGTGTGGCTGGAGCTGAACCTGGCAAGGGATGCTAAGAATAACAAGAAGGGCTTCTCAGGTATGTCAACCAGAAAAGGAAGGTTAAAGAAAGCGTACCCCCCTTGATGAGCAAGAATGGCAAACTGATAACAACAGACGAGAAGGCTGAGGTTCTCAACAACTTTATTGCCTCAGTCTTTACTGCCAACCCCTCTCCTCACATCTCCCGAATTGATGGACTGGGCAAAAACAGGGGCTATGAGAATGAAGGACCGCCCACTGTAGGAGAAGACCAGGTTTGAGACCTTCTAAGGAACCTGAAGGTACATAAGTCCATAGCATCTGATGAAATCCATCCAGGGGTCCTGAGGGAGCTCGTGGATGAAGTTGCCAACCCACTTTCCATTATATTTGAAAAGTCACGGCAGTCTGGCGAAGTTCCCACTGATGGGAAAAGGGGACACATAACCCCCATTTTCAAAAAGAGAAAAAAGGAAGACACAGGGAGCTACAGGCTGGTCAGTCTCACCTCTGTGCCCAGCAAGATCATGGAGCAGATCCTCCTGGAATCTCTGCTAAGGTACATGGAAAATAAGGAGGTGATTGGTGACAGCAAACATGGCTTCACCAAGGACAAGTCATGCCTGACAAATTTGGTGGCCTCCTACAATGGTGCTACAGCACTGGTAGATAAGGGCAGAGCAACAGATGTCATCTACCCGGCCTTAACGCAAAGCATTTCACACTGTCCCGCATGACATCCTGGTCTCTAAACTGGCGAGGCAGAGATTTGATGGATGGATCACTCAGTGGATCAGGAACTGGCTGCATGGCCACACTCAAAGGGTTGCAGTCAATGGCTCAATGTCTAAGAAGAAACCAGTGAAGAGTGGCGTTCCTCAGCGGCCAGTACTGGGACCAGTGCTGTTCAACATCTTTGTTGGAGATGTGGACAGGGGGATTGAGTGCACCCTCAGCAAGTTTACTGATGACACCAAGCTGTATGGTGCTGTCAACACACTGGAGGGAAGGGATGCCAACTAGAGGGACCTCAACAGACTTGATAGGTGGGAGGGATTCTTTATCAGGTAGTGGAGCAATAGGATGAAGGATGATGATTTTAAAATGAAAGAGGGGAGATTTAGATTAGGTGTCAGGGAAAAATTCTTTAGCGTGAGTGTGATGAGGCACTGGAACAGGTTGCCCAGGGAAGCTGTGGATGCCCCATCCCTGGAAGTGTTCAAGACCAGGCTGGATGGCGCTTTGAGGAATCTGCTTCAGTGGAAGGTGTCCCTGCCCATGTCAGGGAGTTTGGAACAAGATGATCTTTAAGGTCCTTTTCAACTCAAAACCATTCTGTGATTCTATGAAATATCTGAAGTATGTAGCAGTATTTCAGGTTCTTACACAACACTTTACATGTTTATATAGATTAACTTGTGATTGAAGCAGTACTTGGTCCACCAGTATAATGCATTACTTAGCCCAGGCTATTTTGTATCCTCAGAGAGAATGGTAACTTAATGCCAAAGGCTAGTACTATACAATAAAGCGTGCGTTCACAAAATCTTGTGTAGTATATTACATGCAGAGAACTCAGTAACAAGAGAGTAGGTTTCCTTATGTCTCAAGAATAAGCTTTCACCCTTCTGTGAAGAAAAACCATTGCTAGAATTTTTTTCCTAGAGGTAGTCTTTGTTACTGCAGTACCTAAAAGTCTAGCTGCAACAGTGAGCATTTTGGAAAGTGAACTTAAGGGCTTCAAGGGCTTTAGAAATGTCAGCCTAAGTGTATATATGCTGACAGGCTTGAGAAAGGAGATGGTATTCAGCTGCACAAGCTGCCATTTTGCAGCATACTGCAGTCTTGGAGTGGCTCTTAAAAGATGTTTTCAAATACCTCTGAATATTCCCTAGCATAAGCCATGTCACAGCACACATTTACGAATTGGTATTTACCAAGGCATAAATACAAAGCAAAACACTTCTGTAATCCTGTCTTAGCCTCTTTTGGAGCTGAGTGTATGTAAAAGTCTAACCATAAAAATAATCCGTGTAAACTTTCTAGATTGCCAAATGCATGTAGACACTGTATATATGATTTTTCTTCAAATTTGTAACTGTATCCCATGGTCCTCCCAGATCTTATTTTTTAATAACACCACAGAATTTCAGTTCGCCTCTACTGGTTCTCTCTCTCACACAGCAACCATTTCCTAGACATAAGAGGTCCAACACATCCCAGACCCTTGCCTCAGAAACTAAACACATGCACTGTGGCAACAGCTGAAAAGGGATGAAAGCTTTGTTCTCTTGTTACCCGTATAGGAAAGATGAACAAGGACAGTGGACCGTAATGTGTCCTACATCTAAAAGCTTCAGAATTAAATGTCCGAACTGTAGCTGGGGAGAAGTCAAACAACGACAACAAAAAAAAAAAAAAAAGAAAAAAAAAAAAAGAACAAGTGGTGACAAAGCAGGATGGGCGAGAGAGTTCTGTCCCTTCTCCTTGGCTTTCACACAGAGATGACAGAAAAATGCAAGACAGAACCTCACACTGACAACTCTGGTGACTTGAGCCATCTCACACCATTTTTCAAGGGTTTATGTAAGTAAAAGGAGGAAATGGACAACAAAATGGAAGAATAAGAAATATTAAAGAGGAAATGCAAAGATGGCAGAAGACAGGGGAAAGCAAGAAATACAGTTTAGTATGTGTCGAATGTGTTTCCTGTAGCAATGTACTGCATGTGTGTCAACAGGTTTTCTAATGCTATCACACCCTAAGGGAAGGAAAAGAAAATGGAAACACTGATCGCAATGAAAGTATTGCTGAAATGTTGTTTAAACAAAAGGCAACTCATGGTTCAGTTTTTTTCTGTTTCATTTTTTTTTTGTTTGGTTGGTTTGGGTTTGTTTTTTTTTTTTTTAATTCTATCCAACTGAAACAGAGTTACTTCCCCAAACATCAAGTTGTGGTGTCACACATAGCACAACACATTCTAAAACATTTTCCTGTGATGAAATATTAAGTACAGACTTGCACTATAGAACTGCAGGTCCAGTTAATATTAATTTCACAGCACCTTATATGGAAGTTAAACACTCTCATTACTGGCACCCATATTTTAAATATGTAATATATAATTAAATATAAATAGACATTAAGCCTGCTGCTTAATACTGCTGCATTTAAGAGCTAAGAACAACAGGACTTCGGTACTTGGCATGGCAATTTTCATGCAAAAAATTAGTCTAAATGATTTATAACAACAAAATATAAGGACACAAATGGCACATCAAGCTTGAATCTCTGTTCTGTAAATACAGACAAATTGTATTTAGTAGGTACATGAGTACACTTGAAGAACTTTTATCTATCAATGCCCATCCCTAGTCATGCAGACAGGCTTAGAGCTTGCACTGGCAGGTGTCCTTTGGAATAAGAAAACAGTTAGGAAGCACCTGAGGACCTCCTCTGCTCCCCCTTTCTACTATCTCTCCACTCAGAACCACATTGTAAGATTCATGTAGGACCGAGCACTAATGCATTAGCACTGATTTGAACTTATCAAAGTTGACTGACTGCAGCTCCCCACCATGTACTTCTAGAGAACAAAATAACTAGAATACAGAAGATGCATGTACCTTTTTAAGATTAAGGCACCAGGGAAACATTAATGACTTCATTCTCAGCGTGACTAACAAGGGGATTATCCCTTTTAGAAGCAAAGGAAATGGAGGCACACTGCAGTGATGTGTCCAACAATAAATCTTCTAAATGCAGGAACAAATTTAAATGGTTCTTCTTTTCAATCCCATACTTTAGCCACATACTTAGCCACTGTCTTTTCTTATGGATTTTGCATTAAACATCTGCAAGACAACTATTTGAGAAATAAAAAAGGTAAATTATTACACATACTAAACTGATACAAATACTATTAGCATACAAACTCCTCGATCCACAATTTGCCAAACCCTTTCCCAATAACACAACAGGATAAAGGAGTGAAACTAACGAGTCTCTCTAACCAG